GCAGTGACCATTTATTACATATGTCGGGGCTGTGTAGTCATACTGGAGGGGGGCCATTGACATAGTTGAGCACCAGGTAAGGTGTCCTGGTCTGTCTGGTGGGACAGCAGCAGGAGCCCCCTAATGGGGGCAGGAGCACTGTGGCACCCACCAGGATAAGGAAGAGGAGGAGGAGGAGGAGGAGGAAGCTGAGGGGCCACCTGGATACAGGAGCAGGGGTTCTGCAGAGGGAAATGCAGTGTCAAACATAGGCATGGGCTGCCATCATGAGCGCTGTCCCTCACACCCCAGACCTATATCCCAGGCATCTCACCCAGGGTCTACCTCCAGCGACACATCTTGGAGACTGGGAGATGTTTGCCTCTTGTCCTAAGGGTAAGTGGCAGCCAGCAGCAGAATGAATAAAAGTAACACTTAGTGTGGACTTTTTCTTACCATTGTAGGCTGGGCTTATTTTCTTCTGGCACCCCTCTGATCCTCAGGACCCCATATGGACTTGGAACATCTCCAAGCATAGTGGATGTCTGCCTGTATTTGCCCTCCATCCAGTCCCCCTTTTCCTGGTAACAGTGGCTCAATTTGGGGGGAAGGAGGGTCAAGCCTTCAGGTTCATGTTCATGTGCAATTGACCCACACCTCCACGTCCATGGTTGGACATGTGACCCAGATATGGCCAATCAGAGCACTCCATCAGCTTGGCCACTGTGACTGGTTCAGGATGTAGGCCATACACCCAAGCTGGGCAAGTGGAAATCAGTTCTGGGACTGCTTCCAGTAGGTCAGTAGCACCCTCCTCCTGGGGTGGGTAAACTAGTAGGAAGTGAGTGTGTCGCTGCTGGGCAGCCTTTTTGCTGAGAAGAAATCCACCCTGGAGAAGTAGAGCCTGAGACAGAGAGGGACTGAGCCCTGTCAGCATCTGAGGTCTTGAATTCAACAGCACCTGGACTTTCTTAGTTACATGAAAAAATAGCATTCCTTTTTTGTGTAATTCAGTTTGGGTTGGGTTTCTGTGGTCTCTGTCACTTGCCATCAAGACACTTGGCCAAGAAGCAGCTCACCTGAGACTTCTGGAGCAAGGAGCGTCTTTGGTGACCCACTAAGTGCTTCCGGTGGCTGAGGCCTGACATGAGCATGTCCTGTGGGGAGAGAGGTGTGGGCCCTTGGAGAACCAGTGACAAAGGGACACAAGGTTGGGGAAGGGCCAAGATGGTTGGTAATATAGATGAGATTCTGGGGGAAGGGAGAGATGAAGACAGGGATAGAGCCAAAGAAACTGAGGAGAAGAGACATTATTTATTTATTCGTTCAACAAATACTTAATGAGTATCTATTACATGCCAAGCACTGTTCTAGGAGTAGGGGACACAGTGGACATGGAAACAGGCAAAGTCCTGGTGTCCATGGAACATATATTCTTAGCAGGAGAGGGCGAAGCCACAAATTAACAAATAAATGTACAATATCAAAATGTGGTAAGTGCTGTTAGAAAGTGAAGAAGATAAGGAGTGATAATGTTTGGAGGCCAGGGCAGGCCTCACTGAAGAGGCAACAGTTGAGGAGAGGCTGGAATGAAGTGAGGAGGTGAGCTGGGCATGCATCTCTGGGCTTTGAGATGGAGTTTGAATGTTTGAAGGTCCAGGAGGCTGGTGTGGCTGCAGAGGGGTGAGTGAAGGGAAGAGCAAGAGGAAATGAGGAAATGTAGATAGAGAAGACAGAGGAAGATGGAGGGAGGGAGACTGAGACCCCAAAAGAGAAATAGACACAGAGAGATAGAGAACCCCCAAAACCTGGAAAGGGAAGGTCTCTGCTAGGGAGATCACAGAGGTGTCGCATGGGCACGCAGGGAAGGGCGGGGATGTCCCCTACCTGCCCTCACCTCCAGGCCTTGTCCCCTGCCCTGGGGGTCCCTGTGGCCACACAGCTCACAGGGAGCCCCTGGTGTCCAGGCTGTTTTTCGCCCCAAGGGCCCAAAGCCCCCAACGTCCCCAGCCGGGTCCCACTCCAACTCTGCAGGAGTGGGGAGGCTACTGGGTGTCCAGGGCCCCCAGACCCCACCAGGTCCTGGCCCATCTGAGTCTCCTTCAACCTCCAAGTCCTGGTCCAAGGTGGTGGCCTCCTCGAACACCTGGTTAGAGGACAGAGGTCATGGGGGTTGTGGGATTCGCGCCTGGGCTAGGGACTGCCAGGGTGGGCCATACCAGGCTGTAGCTGACCAGCTGGGCCTGCAGCCGCCACAGCTGCCAGAAGATGCTGTCTCGGTGAGCTCCGAGGGCCCTCAGGACCTGCTCCAGGGATGCTCGGGCCTGAGGCTCACTCCACTGTGCCAGCCCCTCACCGAATGCCAGCAGTGCATCTACACACTCAGCTGCCCCATGTAGGTCTGCCTGTAGGGCCTGAGGACACATGGTTGGACACCATCCTCCCCACCCTCCACACACACACACACACACCAGGGGCACCAGAGTCCTAGGACCTAGCATTACATCCCCCTCCCTTTCCTACCCAGACACCAAGAACATGGAATAAACCCATCTCCCACCCCAGGAAGCTGGTCCCCACTTGTGAAGCCCTGCCCACCCTCCCACAATCTTGGCCTCCCCTTGCCCACCTGCAGCTGGATCATCCCACTCTGGGCTGATGCCCAGCACGCCAGGCTTTGCTCTAGGTCCTGCAGCCAGAGGCCAAGCCCCATAAGGCAAAGGTATAGGCTGTCTTGATCAGCCTCCAGTACCTCTCGGCCAGAGATGGGGTGCTGGGGAACATAGGGGGCTGAGTCAGGGCTGGTGGGTCACCCAAGACCTTGCCCACTCCCATTGCCACACCTCTTCTGCAAGCTCCTGCCTTCTGGATGCTTCTCTGCAGCAGAGTCCATCTCTAGGTCTGTACCAAGACTGTCCCCACCTGGAGTCCTTCCCAGTAGAGCCAAGCCTGAGGACCTTTAGTTCAAAGTCTTAGGTTTTCAAGGATCCTAGAACTTGGACACACAGGGCCTGAGGGTCTGGACAGGGAAGGGGTAATGGAGCTGGATACCCCCATAAGGAACGGAGCTGCACCAGGGTCAGTGATGAAAATAATTCTCTCAGTTGGTAAAGTAATGAAATACTTTTATAATGACTGGTAAAAAATCATTTTCTAGGGTGTCCCTTCCCCAACAAATGCCCCAAACTTTTCCAGAATCAGCACCTCATTCTGTGTGGAGGCAAGATTCTGGGGCACAAAGAGGAGGTGGGGGATGGTACCAGGGGACTGGATCACCTCAGCTCACCTCATAGTGTTTGCCCCCAGCTGGGTCCTCATGGGAAGAGGGTGTTGGCAATCTGAGGGAACCAATAGCAGGCTCAGTGCCCCTCAGCCCACCCTGGGAGTGCTCAGGAGGGTCCAAGGAGTCACGCCCGTTTCTGGGAGGTAGGAGGCATGGACAGGCCCCCTGGGGTCTCAGTGCCCATTATCCACCCTATCCTGCCCCTGTCCCTGGCTCCCTCTCCATGTCCCCAGGTGATCATAGCCACAGTACATCCTACCCTCAAAGCACCCCGATACTGTCCCTACCCTTTTGGGACCCAAGTTTCAAAAGCCCCAGTTCCTACCTGATTCTCTCCTCTCCAGACACAGGACAGTTTGGGCAGCCAACAGTGTCCAGTTCCCTAGGGGCTCCAGGGGGGTGGTTGAGGGGCTCTGAGTTGAGTCTGGGGCCCAGAGGTGGGGGAAGGGCCATAACTGGGGGCCTGGGAACAGAGTCAGGATCCCCAATAAGAAGCCCTTTTTCTGGCCAGCGGTATCCCCCTAGACCTCGGTGGAATTCACCCAGGCCGGCAGCAGGCCCGGAGGCAGGCTGGGCTCCACCTCCTTCCTAGAGGAACCTGGGCCCAGGTAATTTGATGCCCAGCTCAGGTGACAGCAGCACCACTTAACTCCTTTCTCCCCAGCCAAGCAGTAGGTTAAACTCCCAAGCTCACCCCACCCTACCTAAGGGGTTTCCAGATACCGTCCTGCCCTCTCAGCAGCCCTGGACTCTGCCCCACAAAGAGACAGGGACCGTGGGTTTGGACAGAGTAGGATAAGGGCCCCTGGAAAAAGCAAGGCAAGATAATTACAGTCAGAGCAGTGTAACAATATGCAAAGAAACCCCCTACCAAAAGCCCGTGTTAAACATTAAGCTCTAGAGTAATTCTTCAGTGAGATCAGTTAATATTCCCCAGATAAAGTACCTCAGCATAACCTGTTTTTATTATGCTAATCATTTGTAATCATGTGTAACACTCACTTCAGCATGCTAAAAGGCCCAGGCCTATGTACTGTTTTTCCTCTTTCAGACCTGATCAGGCAATTTGTAACCTGACAATTAATAATGGCATGGAAGCCCAGCCATGAACAACATAGAAAAAGCAAGAAAGATTCCATCTTAGATTGTCTTTTAAAACCCAGGAAGTTAAGAAGTATGGTTCTTAACAAACTCTTTAACAGGCAATAACTCAGCCCACCTTGAGGGCAGGGCAGGCAGTCTTGATTGATGACGGATATGCTCCCAGACCAAAAAGCTGCTATTCTGGTAAAGAAATCTGCAGTAAATTTCTTATGTTAATTTTGCAGAATTATCTGGGAAGACTGATGAGAAAAGAGTCTAATGTCTCATTAAGGATGAACATTCTAGGACCACTTAACAGATCCACACCCCTAGTCCTTTATCATATTCCTAGAAATCCTCAACCTCCTATAAATCCCCTAGACAACGCACAACTACGGGCTTTCCTGTCCCCTCCTGGAAAAGCCAGGGGCTCCGTCCTATCTCTTTATCTCTGAATAAAAGCCTCTCCCTTGCTCTCCTACCTTGAGTGTTTGAGAAGTTCATTCTTCGACTCTGTGACCAAGACCCCCGGCATCAATCAGATTCCCAGGTTCACACCATCCATGTTAAGACCCTAGATGCCCTACCCCTTCAGGAGCCCAAGCATCTGCGCCGCCTCTCCCCCCAGCCCCCCGGCAAAAATCCGAAACCAAGGAAAGATTTGTGTTGGTTTATTTTAAATGAGGCTTCGTCCTGTAGTTCCCACAAAGTTACTGGGAAAACAATGCTGGGGCGCTGCCTCTGCCCCAGGTCACTTGCTGAGCAGGAGGCCGGCGCGCAGCACGCGGGGCACGCGGCGGATGGTCAGCGAGACGCGGGTGCCGCGGACCAGGCGGGCTCCGGGCCGCGCCAAGGGGCAGGCGGCGGCGTTGGGCGGCAGGGAGGCGGCGTCGAGCGCGTCTACGCGGGCAGCTGCGATGCCGTGGAGGAGGCGCGTGTAGGCGCTGCCACGGAGCACCAGCAAGCTGCGCGGCTCGAGCAGCAGCGAGGTGGCCGGCCCGGGCGGGGTACGGGGCTGCAGGGCGAGTTGAAGATCAGCGAGGAACAGAATCCCCAGGGGCAAAGGCTGAGGAGCAAGCATGATTCCGGGGACTGAAGCTTTGGAGTGAAAATCCCGCGGGTCTCAGGGCCAAGGCATCCAGAAAGGGGTGGGGGAGTTAAGGATCAGCAATCCCTTGGGAGGGGGCAGGAACTAGGTTGCAGAGAGAACGTCTAAGGGAACTGCAGCTGGGACCTCCAAGGAATGGGTCTGGGGATCACAGGCTCAGGTAACTGGGTGGAACTGGGCTGAGGATTTGACTGAAGGGAGGAAGAGGCCGGCAGGGAGGGTAACTCAGTGAGGTAGAGATGAGCCTATGGTGGTCTGGGTATAGCTGGGGACGTCAGGATGAGGGCACTGGCACAGTAGGAGGGGCTGCCAGTCTATCCAGAAGCATGTAGGACTAAAGCAATGAAGCCATGAGGAGCAGCTGGGGTCAGTGTTGTGAGGAGTTTCTGTGAACACGGGGGTGTCAGAAATGCATCACTCAAAAGAAAGAGGTCAGGGAAGCTGCTGTCTTGAGCAGCTCTCACAGAGGGGAGCCGGGATATCTGGGTGGGGGTGGGGGTCCCTGAGTAGTGTGAGTCATGGGTTGAGGTGTCAAGAATATGAGGGTGTCCTGTGTGGCAGATCACATTATTGGAGCAGCGGGGAGGAGGTCAGTGTTGGAGTGTCCCATAGAGTTGGCAGAGAGAGGATGGGTGTCTGGGGCATGTCAGCGACACCCATGAGTGAATGACGTTGAGGTATCTGAGGATAGCAGTGTCTTTTGGGAGGCCTGCATGGGGTATGTGGACCTTGGGCTATTGGAGTCCTCCGATTGTGTGGGACCAGGTGATCTGTAGGGTTTGGGGGCATCTACTCAGCAGGTGGTGGGCACGGGGTGTCTTTGGATATGATTTCTAGGGTGCCCTGCAAGCAGATGAGTTGAATGGGAGAATGTGGGTGTATTCCACGAGGGGATGGGGAAAGTATCTGTGAGAGTATCAGCAGGCACGTGGGACGGGGGCCTCTTGAAGGATGTGGGATGTCAGAATGTCCACGAGTGGCTGCAGCAGTGTCTCAGGGCCCACCTGCTCTGTAGGGTCATCATCCTTTGGCTGCCGCGGCTCGTAGAGGTCCAACATGGTGTGGGAGCCCAGGCTGATGGTGCTGACAGTCGGGTAGTACAGTGGCCCATCCTCGTGGGGCTGGGGAGAAGGCACTAGGGCTGGACAGGGCAGAAGTCCACCCTCCCCCACCTTCTGGGACTTAAGGGGGCTCCCCAGCTAGGCACAGGGAGGTGAGTACCTGACTGGGGTATGTGGCTGCTTAATGAGAGTGGAGGTGGGTCAACATGATACCCTGCCCCATAGCTGATCAGAGCTCTGGGGGTCGGGAATGAGGGCGTGTGGTTACCATGATACCCTCCCCGGGTAGATAATGGTTCACAAGGACGTGGTTGGCTGGGAGATTCCCAAAAAGGCTGAGGTCAGATACTTTGTCCACACAGCGCTGGAGCCACGGGGGCAGCCGCTCAGGAACCATCCCCCGGGGGTGGGGGAGCCCACCTGGGGGAGGGCAATAGAAACCTGAGAGCACCCAGCCAAGGAGCCCTGGCACCAGGGGCCCCATTAGGGAATCTCAGTGGTTGGTAGCACTCTGGCCCCCTCAGTGACCCCTGACTCTTTGGAGATCATCACCTGACCCTTCAAAAGTTTCCTGACCTCTCCAAACCCCAGACCCTTTGGGATACCCTCAATTCACCAGGAAATCTCTAACCTCTCAGGATCTCCACTGATTCCTCACAATCCTCCTCACCCCTGGGATGCCTTAAAATCTCAACTCCCTCACCCCAATATCTTGAGACTATCCAAGCTGAGCTGCCTGTCCCAGCTCATATCCCAAAATCACCCATGTCCCCAGGAAGGGACACTTACCCCAGTTCTGTAACTTCCTCCCAGAGAGCTGGGTCCACTTTGGCTTTGGGGCATTGAAGACCTGGGAGGTGGGGAGGTGGGTCAGTCCTTTTTCAGGACCACCCTTTTGATTCTCCCACCCAGGCCAACATAAGGGTCTTTCCCTGGGATGGAAATGGGACATCTCAGTGTCTGTGGGATTGTTCTCTGGGATAGTGTTCTCAGGATTTTGTTGTTTGCCCTCTCCCCTGTGGACCTCTGTGGCCTGAAAGTTTTCCTGTGTCTACTGGGATTGAAGAAAGAAACCAGGGCTACAGTGTGGTCTGAACCTACTCAAGATCTGGGCTGGCTGGGGCTCTTTTAAGTCCAGCAATTAGTCTGCACTCTGTAATTTCCTGATTCCTGGGCTATATAGAAACATTCTTTTTTCCTATCACCTGAGAGAGGGAATGTGCTAAGCTGAGCTATCTCAGCACAGCAAAGAGAATACTTTAAAAATTCTCTACTGCCAAGATCCCAAGAGTCTCGAATGAGCTATCTCCAAGAAGTCCAAGAAGTCTATACTCAATAATCTCATTCCCTTCATGGTTATAGGGCTGGAATGGGCTATCTCAGCAAAAGAGTCTGTGTTTTGTAGCTGTTCTGTATGCCTGGACTCAAACTAGTCAGGACTAGATGGGATAGCACAGAGATATGTGCTGTATAATTAAGGATCTGGGGCTGCAAAAGGCTGCAAGGACTTTGTAAATTCTTCTTTCCCCAAATCTTAAAAATAGAACACAGACTAGACTATCTCAGCACAGGTGGTCTGTGCTTGGTAACCTTGTTCCCAAGACTCTGGGTCTATGCTGAGCTATCTCAGCAGGGGGAAGAGTTTACTCTGTAACATTCTGATGCCTGGGCTATCTAAGCACGGAAATCTTAACACTGCAAATTCTTCATTCTCCAAATATCAAGGGCTGGAACAGGGCTACCTCATCCTACATTTATAACCTCCTTTTCTCTAAGATAATAGGATTGGGCTATTTCAGAACAGAGTATGAGCTCTGTAACTTTCTTTTTTTCTGAGGCTCTGAGGTTGCACTGGGCTAGTCCAGCACAAGGACACTGATCACAATAACATTGTTTTGGAGGTTGGACTGGGCTATCTCAGCACAGGGAGTCTGAGCTCCATAATAACCATTTCCTTTATAAGAATCAGTTTGGTTTTCCCTCATCCTCCTGGGAAGAGCTCTTTCTGATAGGCCCAAGCAAGTCCTGAGAGAGGAATAGGGAATGTGAGTTATGGATGCTGTGGGGAACTCTCCTTCCCACCAGGATCTTCACTGCAGCCTTGGGGGCTCTCACTGAGGATCTGGGAGCTGGGGAAGGATCTGGGATGAGGGGAAAAATAGACCAGAAGGAGGTTGGGGTCACCTGTCGAAGCAAATACTCCTCCTCTTCCTTGGAGATGAAGTCAGGGACATAGTAGATTACAGGTGGTGCCTAGGATAGAGAGGTCCTCTTAAAAGCCTGGTCCTTTGACCTACACAGAGGCCCTAGCCTCACTGACCAACTCCTCCTTCTGGGTGTGAGGCTCGGAACATCCTCAGAAAGCCCAGAGCCTGAAATCAAAGGACCAACACCCATTTTGGGGATGGAAAGTCAGGGAGAGGGGGGAGCTGGACCCTGAGGATAAGAATAAATCTGGAGCATTCCCACCCCACAAACCCAGGAATCGGCCTGCCTATCCCCACTGTCTCCCACCTTCACCCTCCACACCCACAGCCCTGACAACCTGCTCCACCCTGAATGGTTCCAGGGCTGGGACCCTGGAGTCCTGATCCTCCATTGACACCAACTCCATGTACCCAGGCCTGTGAGGAGAGAACATGCTGAAGTCACCAAGCCTCCCAACCTCAGGCTATGATCCTGCTTTCTGCTCTATAATGGGCCAGGGCCTCATCTCAGCATGCCAGTGAAACATACTTGCTTTCTAAAACCTGGGTCCTCAGCATCTCAAAAGCCATCCAATGAACCCCAGCCTCGCTGCCTGGGACACAATGAGCACACAGAACACTCCCCCAAACTCCATTCACCAAGAGCCCACCAAACTAAACATATTTACCCCCTCAAGCCCACAAAGAACATGCTCTGACCTCACTGGGAGCCCTTCTCAAGAGTGCCACACATCGTTGCCTCCGGGGCTGCACCCTAAAGCCCCTTCAAACACCTTAATTTGAGACTCCATCCTCACAACTTCAGACCTACAACCAGGCACCCGGCTCTCTAACAACAGTCAGGGTCCCCATGGACCCTTCTCCCACCTCAAGCCCTTTCCCTTGCTCCATTCCGAGCACCCTCTGCCCCCAATCTGAGTCTCAGACGCGTCCAGTCTTCTTGCAACCCCCCTGCCCCCACTCTGGACACCCTCATACTTCCCTTGCCGATCGCCCCTTCACTGCAGCACCCTTGGACCTTTAGCCCTGAGCCTGACTCTACTTAATCTCCCTCATTGAACCCTAGTGCCCCGCTCTGAGTCTTCTAGGCCCCCGCACTCTGAGTTTCCCCGGATCCCCACTCGCAACCCTCTCAGACCCCCATCTCCGCCCCAGGCCACCCCAAAACTGACCGTCCACCAACGTCCCCTCCAGTACCCAAATTAAACACCGCCATTCCCCTCCCAGCAACTTCCGCCCCACATTCCTGACGCAGGAGTCCTCAGACCAATGCGAACTCTAAAAGGCCTTAAGGCTCCACCTTCCACCCAATCGGCGCTCTCGCCATCTATTTCCCCGCCGCCTCGCCTTCGTTCACTGATAGGCTTTACTTCCTGGCATTGGACCCTTCGGAGACGGGTCTTCGTCTGGCATTGACCAATCAGAGCCCCAGAACCGGGCCAGTCCACACTACGGAGTCGGCCCGGCGGGAGGGGCAGCCGCAGAAAGGAGGCAAGACTTAAGAGGAATTTACAGCAGGCTAAATCATCTTATGCCCATACCCAAGGCAGGGTATTTTGAAAGAAGGACTTCCTCTCCCATCACCCCCCAGCAAGGGTGAAGAGGCAGGGGTCATAACTCCCCAAATAACGAACCAACACAGAGAAGCCATAGAAACGTCTTTATTGAAGGGGACAGGGATCATGCTGAGTTCAGGGACATGCAGTGAAGGGGCAGTTGTGAGCTGTCCTTGGTGGTCAGGGCCCCAGGTCCGCCCTGGACCCCCGGGCCTTCAGGTTCTTCCTCGAGGGGTTAGTCTGGCCAGGGTGCTGTGAGGTCCTTTGGGGCCAGTGACTTAAGACTTGGTGTTTTGGACCTGTGACCAGCAGGTAGGCTGAAATGGGGGCTCCAGGGTTGGGGGTCCCCTCAAGGCTTGGGGCCCTTCACGTATTAGAGATGAAGACTTTAGGATTTGGGGTTCCTTTGGGGCTGGGGCTCTTCGCATTTGGGTCTTGAGATCCATGGACTCAGGGCATGAAAGTCCTACAGTTTCCAGGGATGAGAATTCCTGTTTGGGGTCTCCTGAAACAGGTGCCTATGAATAGGGCTTCAGGTGCCCTGGGAGCCCGATATACATATTCTGACTGCAATCTTCTTATCCCAGGTACAAGGACCTGCATGAATGGGGTTCCTGGGGGCTTGGATTTTAAAATTTGGGATTCTCTGGGGATTTGGGGATTCCATGATTTAGGGGTCCTTGGAGTTAGGGCCTTGGGGTCTTCTAGGGGGCACTTGGGGAGTAGGACCTGGGGGCATAGGGGAGTTTGGGATGTGTACTCTGGGGTTTGGGATCCCCTGAGTCCCAGAATGGGGCCTCCAAATTTTGGGGTCCCCCAAAGGGGGAAGTCATTGCTTAAAAAATAGAGAATTTTCTGGGAGCCTGGCCAGCACGGGGACTGTGGGCCATGTGGGATGGGCTTCATACAAGGCACTGGGGGTTTCTTGAGGGTGCAGAGGGTAGGAAGACTTGGGGGTCCTGTAATTCCAGCACTTTTTTGGTGTCTGTAAATTGGGAGTGACAGTGGGCTGGTTAATGGGGTCTCTTTTTAAGGGGTAAGAGCAAGGGTCTTTGTTAATGGAGGCAGTCTCTGATTGCAAGGTAAGGGTTTTGGGGTGACCATGGGGTCACATCTTGAGGATCATACTGATGTTAAATGTGGGTCTATTAGCTGTTGCTTTAGAAGTGTGACCTGTTTATTTCAAGGGGAATTGATGAGTGGGGGTTGGGGGGAGACTTTGTTAATAGGGGAGGGCTCTGATCCAGTGATGAGTGACTCAGGAATGTTCTGCTGTGGTGCATTATGTGGAGGTCACCATCACTTGGAGTAATGTGAAAATCCATTATTGAGGATATGGGGATAGGGACTAGCCTGAAGGTGCTACACTCAGGGAATCTCTTTCTGGGTAACATGGGGTCTGCATTTGGGGGTTATCTTGGGGGAATCTGTTAATAATGGGGCCTCAGTGATCGAGGGCTGGCTAATGGGGGGTGTCTCTATTCTGGATGTGTTACTGGGAAACTATCTCAGGGTGACTTGGGGGCTCCTTGTGTCAAGAGATGCTAGAGGGGGCTCTGCGTCTCTTTGTTGGGTGTCCAGGGCCTCTAAGACTGCATCTCTGCCCTCAGCATCCAGGGAAACCAGCAGCAGAAGAGCAACCTGGAAAGGAGAACCTTGTCACACCCTGATGTAGGGAGCAGGAAGAGCTGGATCTGTCACCCCAGCTCCTCCCCAAGTGTTTGGAGTTTGGCCTTTTGGGATTCTGCCTCTACCTCTTGGGCTCTGCCTCCTCAGGCTCCTGTGGAACAAAGGGTTTTCTGCCTCCTCTACTTGCCCCTTAAAAGTTGAAGTCACCAGAAATCAGTGTGAGGGATCACTCCCTAAGGACTTCCTGGGTAAACTGACTAGTCACAAGTTTTCCTAACGTCTATTTCCAGCCCCAGCCAGAGCTCCAGATCCAGATCCGTTCCACAGTGGCCTTGTGGAAGCCTCTCCCTGAACGTCCCACAGGAGAGGGGCCAGGGGGTGGCTACACACCTGGAGATGGAGTTCTCTGATGCAATGTCCTTTGGGGTCCGGACTGTCGTGAAGGTGCGTTTAGGTTGCGTCACTGATGGGGAGGACAAGGTCTCGGGTGAAGGGATGACAGACTCCTTGCCAGTAATACTTATCCATGTGCCTAGTACCCACCCAGATTCCACATTCCTAATACCCATGTGGACCTCTTGCCCATAATATTCCTTGTATCCCCAAAACTTATCCATGTCCTCAAGGCCTGCCCAGAGCCTCGTCACTAACATCCCTGTATTCCATAGTACCCATCCTCTCTGGGATCCTGTCTCAGCATCTTCCCAGAGCCTGTGTTCCCAGTTAAATACTGCAGATTCTGTCACTAGCATATACCTAAGAACCCATGACCTTCCCTTCTATCCCCAAACCCATGCTCCTCCTCACATCCCAGCTCTCAACTCACTGGTCACTTGGTGTACTTTTTTGGCTGCGACATTGTCCCCAGGAGGGTCAGTAGGTCCACCAATCCTGGGGAGACATGAGCAGAGTGGAAGCAGTCAGAGCCACAACAGTCTAGGGGAGCTGAGCCCAATGGAGCCTACACAAAAAGAGCTAGGGTTTGGGGGTGGGTTTACACTGTCCTGGTCCAAGAGGAAGAGACATGTGAGGGGGGATCAGGGTTCTGGGTGATACCCTGGTTTGGGGTCAGAGTTTGGGCTCACCTCTGAATTCGGGAGGCCGGCGCAAAGACTCCATGCCGAGGGGGGCAAGTGAAGTACCGGACACCAAAGACTGAGCCATCGTGCTTGCCAGTGGGTTGGTTTAGCTCAATGCCATACCAGTAACCTGCAGCCAGAGGGTGTCAGAGTGCCATGAGGCCCTGCCTTCCTCCCAGCCCAGATGCCCGTCCTCACCTGGGGCAAAGTCTGTCTTTCCATAGAAGCGCACAACCCCTTGCTTCTGGCCTGCGACAAGGACTTGGTCTCCGACCTCAGCCTTGGCTCCCTCACGCTGCTGCAGGCTGCCCAGGGATGGGGATGACAGGGGCTTCTTCTTGCCTGGGGGTGCAAGGTACAGGGCGTGGGGCAAGGGCCCCAGATTCAAGTCCTGGGGACCCCATGCCACCCAGAAAGCCCCAACATAGAAGCTCTATCCTGACTCTAATTAGAACTCCAGTGGCTTCCCCAGAACTGGGGGACTTTGGTCTTGAAAGGAAACAATCCCTGCTGCCGGAGAAGTTGGTAGGGGGTGGGGGATCACTTTAAGGAATCTGAGTCAGTAATGTAGAGAATCCCAAAATCCTTTCTCAAAGCAGAGGATATTTGGGCCAAAGGAAAAATCGAGTCACAGAAGTCAGGAGCCTAGAAATTGTCCTTTTACAATGAAGGAGGGAGGATAAATCAGGTCACTAAAAGGAGGGATGCTATAGATTCTTCCCTAAAACTGGGGAAAGCCCTTGGGCCCGAGAGGAAAATAGGTCACAGAAGGCAGGTAACCCACAGGTCCTTCCAAGAACTTGGTGGGGCCAGTACTAAGTCAAAGAGGACCCTGTCACAGAAGTCAGGAACTTGGAGATCATCCTCTAACATGGGAGTTTGGGCCTGAGGAGAAACTGAGTCACCAAAGGAGGGCTACCCACGGAATATCCTCAAGACTGGCCCACCTCACCCCTAGGGCTCCCCTTCTGACCTTTGTGTTCCCTGCGGCCTTTGCCAGTGACACGGGAGAAGTCCATCCGGGGAGTCCGAGGTGTGGAGGTGACGGATGACGGGGGTGCGTCCACTACCTTGGAGATCTTGGACACAGAGGCAAACAGCCCTGCGGGGACAGAGCCTGGGCTGGGAGTTGCCCAAGCCTCTGCCCTTGGCAGTCTGCCCCTGCCATCATCCCCTCATGCCCTTTACCCAGTTAGCAGCGGCAGAACTACTGAGTGGATCCCACTGCCACCCCTTTTGAGCCCCAGGTGGGACTCACCCTGCTTGGGAGGGCAGATGAAGTACCGGACACCCCCAACACTGCCATCATTCTTGCCCTCTGGTTCGTCCAGCTCCACGCCCACCCACTGGCCACTGGCAAACTCCGTGGTCCCACAGAACCGCAGTGTGCCCGTCTGAGGAAACAAGGGAGGATATGGCCGGGGACGCCTTGGGAGATCACTGCACACAAGCAATGTGGCGGGGTGGATGAGGGAGCCCCAGGCTCAAATCTCAGCTCAGACATCACCATTTACTGGCTGTATGACTTAACCTCACTGTGCCTCGATGTCCTCACCTGTGAAATGGATTTCACCTTACCAGACTGTTATATAGCTGCCCTGTCCAGTGCAATAAATAGCCATAAGCTACACATGACTATTTAAATTTAAATTATCTAAAATTAAATTAAAATTCATCTCCCCAGTCTCACCCTGAGTCACACTGGGGTTTTCTACATTGCTAACTCATAAAATTTCATTTCCCCAGTCCCACATTTCAAGTACTCAATAGCCCCATGTGGCTTGTGGCTACTTTATTGGACAACTCAGACATAGACTACTTCCATCATCACAGATAGGTGTATTGGACAGGGCTGTTAGAAAGTAAAGGCCTCAGAACAGGGCCTGGTGCTGAGTGAGGGATCAGTAAGTATTGACTATTACTATCCTGTAACTTTGGGTAAGGGATCTTCTGGGTCTCGTTTCATCTGTGAAATGGGGATAACAATCCACCTCATAGACTGGTTGTCCAGTTGAAACATTGT